TAAAACATTAAACCAAACAATACAAGAGGAAATAAATAAAATAGCTGTTTGGTTAAATATTAATAAACTATCTATAAGTACAGAAAAAACAAAGTTTATTGTATTTCGGTCCTCGAGAAGGAAAAAACAAGAACATAATATAAAAATTTATTTAAATAATAAAATTATTGAGCAAGTTAGAAAGACAACATTTTTGGGTGTTGTTGTTGATGAATGTTTGACATATGGATTGATCATCTAGAGCAAATATCAAAGAAAATTATAAAATCAACAGCAGTCATTGTCAGGATCCGACATTTCATAAACTTGAAAGCTCTTAAATGAATTTATTATGCATTAGTCTATCCATATCTTATTTACGGTAATCTAATATGGGGTAACACATACAAAAGAGAACACAAAAATTAGTAAATATTCAGAAAAAGATTATTCGTCTAATGACGTTTAATTCTTACTTTGAACATACCGAACCAATATTTCAGGAGTTAAAAATACTAAGCATTTATAAATTGAATCAATACCTAACAAGTTTATTTATGTTTCGATATCATAATTTGAAGAATTTACCAGAAACATTCGTAAATTATTTCATACCCAATAATAAAATACATGACCATGGCACAAGGAATGCAACTAAGCTTCACAAGACTTATAAAAGAACGAATTATGTAATCCATACTCTTTCTAACAAAGGAGTTGATGTTTGGAATAACATAGCATCTAAATACAAATCTATTTTCTCTTATAGTACTTTTAAAATTAAAATAAAAAATCATTATATATTCAACAATGGATGTATAATGGTTTAAAATATATTATCACTTTCTTTACTGTAAATATACATATATAGTATCCTCCACTTCGAATATATATATAATTAAGTTTATATGCATGTTAATGTTTTATTTTATACTTGTTATATACGCTTTTATCTTTGTTCAATCTAATATATTATTCGAACTGACTAAATAGAATGAAACAATGTAAGTATAGTCTATAGGGGTCTTAATTAAAAAGCCTAGTAGGTTTCTAGAAGGCTCCTAGCCTATCCAAAACAATAGAAAAATAAATGTAAATAACTTGATATTTTTTACGGGCGTAAAAAAAAAAAAAAAGAAAGCTGTGGATGAGGCTATGGAAGGGCATGCATAATCTCATTATCAAGTAAATCAACTGCAACTCTGACAGCAACCATGACCAATTCTGCTTCGCACTTCGGGGGCATAAATGGCTTTACTGGGGGGGGGGGATTCTTCCCCTGGGGGTGATTGCCCCCTGATATATAGTTAAAAAGGCACTGTTGTGCTGTATCGAAGTTTAAGAAAATCAAGATAAAATTCTAGTGTTTGCATGGACACTCAGCGAACAATGCCCATATCCAGACCGTGATCCGTATTTTCCTTATCTGGACCGGTGTTCCGGATGTGGTTTATCTGGCGGGAAATTTTTGCTTTGCAAACAGAAAAAATTTCTGCTTTTTAAGGTGGCTCCCTAGGGTTTTATTTCCAGGGCTTACGTTCTTCGTATATATGTAAACTAAAACTCGTGTGACTTCAAAATACGAACGAACGTTGTGTTTTATATGGAACTCTTTTTTGAAACAAAAGTATGAACTTTGCTTTAGTTGAAAGCATAAAAAGAGTTCTAAAAGCAAAAACGATACTTGGATGTGATGTTTCAAAAGAAGGTAATGTAAACTTTTTTTTCAAGCGGTATTCTGGAAGTTTTTTGAACCGCCGTGGCGCCGTACGCGAGGTTCGATCGCGAACATTTGGATATGATATAAAGTTTCCTCAAGAATTTGCAGTGTTTTCTCCACTATCTAGCAGCACTTATGACAATAAAGATGACTTAAATAATGAGCCCTCTGCGGGTGAAATGAGCAGGGCCGAAACTCCAAACATACCACTATAAAAACTGAAATTTGAACGGATATTTTGCGAAAACATCCAACGATAGTACTAACTCGCACGGGACGAATTTTGACAAACTTTTTTCAAATTAATACCAAGAGGTCATAACCGGTAATTACCTAAATATCTTTGCCAATTTTACATGTATAATCCACGCTTAGTTGACCATTAACCGACACAGTTATAAACAGTATATCAAACATAATTTATATTTTGTGATTTCAAAAACGTCATGCCTCGGTTTTATACAAAATACATGTACACGTCAGTTGTGGTATTAGATTGTTCGCGTCAAAATCTAGTAAAAATTGTCAAAATTCAACCCAAATTTCTCCCTTTTCCTTCGGTGAAATTTTTTAAAACTTTGCACATTTTTTAATATCGGCACAACAAGTGCAATATCCTTTTTCTTGAAATTAAATCGAATGAAAAATTTTTGATACTGATTTTTGACGTTTTTTAAATTTTCTAAGAAACGTATCGATTAATTTCTTTAAATTGAGGGGAAAAATTCATTATACAAGTATTATCTTTTATGCAAAGTTTTAAAAAAATTCACCGAAGGGAATTTTTAAAATGACCTGAAAAAGACAAATTTTGAGCTTTTTTCTAAGCATGCTGTTGCCATGACAACAGATTTTTAACACAAAAGTAGCAATTTGCAATGTTCACGAGAACATTGTCAATGTGTCCAATAGTTTCGTCTTCATGTCATGTAAAGTGAATAAACAGGAGTCTCCTGAATACTATAGTGTAGTAAATTCAAAATACCCTAGGGAACCACCTTAATTTTCCAATTCCATGTGTGCATGTCATTAAAATTTACAGATAAAAATTTCAAACAACCAAATTGTTTTTGATTGAACATGCATGTCTACCGTATATTATTACGTACACCCAGTGAAACTGACGCTAGCTGGTTTAATTCGCGCGAAAAGCATACGCTCACAGACTCTGTTCAGCCATATAATAAACCGATTATTGACCTCGCTTGTTCGGTCTGTACTGTGAAATATCAGACCTCTGTTTTTTGCATGTATCTCGCTCCTTCGTCGCTCGGTCCATACTAAAAGACCTCGATCTGATATTTCACAGTACAGACCTCACGCTCGATCAATAACCCTTTATTACTGTTGTAGTTCATAATAATTATAGAGTAGCTCCAGAATTCAAACTTTAAAAAAATTGGCAGTTTAAATTACTTTTGGAGTAAATAAAACAGAATTTACTGCGGTGACGTCGGATTGGTACATTAGTATGTGATACACTGTAAAAGCATATTGGTTGAAATGACCAATATAAATTGGTTGTCTCAGACGATCAGACTTTTTGATCTCAGACTTTTTGACCAATTTTATTTGGTCAAAACAACCATAATATTGGTTGTTTTAACCATTTTTGTGGGTTGTTTTAACCAATTTATTGGATTATTCAATAATTATATGTACTTCAATGATGTCATTTTTATCTATTGCTGTAGATGATACTATGCAAAAAGATACTTGTGAACAAGTTTAACAAGACAAAATGTGCACAGTGGCGGACCATGTGTGCTACAATTCTTTGCCAAACGGTGGGTAACAGTCTTTTTAAATTTATCTGACCATTAATTTTGTGAATCTATTTTTAGTAACGAGTGTGTGCATGTTTCTCTTGCCAGTGCCGCTCTTGCATCCTGGTGATGCTTGTGCATTTTCCCGTAAGCCTCGGAAACTCCCGTACTATATGGGATGTCTGACATTTGTAAGTGTATCAACTCTAATACTTACCACAATAGTTCTACAATCAATAATGAATTGTAAATACTGTTGAAGGAGTACACAAACAATATTCCAGTTACTGGTTTTCATAAGTGTTCATTAACTATGTATTTTGTTTTTAGGAATCTGCTCCGGCACATCTTTTGTATATATGCTCAGATGTTGGCAATGAAGTATTTGAATCGCTGCTTAGTATGATTTGTATGTACACAAGGCTGGAGCTTAAAGGCCAGCGGGCCTCCAAAAAGTGTCTTCATTCTGGAATGTTAAAACAGGACTTCCCATATTCTAAGCTAAAATGTATGAGAGGTTCCCTCACAGAGAATGAACTTCAAAACGTTATCAATGAAGTCATTGCAAAAGAAAAATCTGTTCAGGAAATGGAATCTGAGTTTATCATGATTAAGGAAATGCGCGCCCTTCAGACATTCTTCATTAAGTATACAAACTGCCAGTCCTGGAAAGAGGCACACGAAAGGTAACTTTCAATCTTAACAATTATTATAAAATTAAATTCTTCATTCTTAGCCATCTTCAGCCCAAAATTAATAGTACAGCTATTCGGTTAAATTAATGCCAACAGATAATAGCAGATAATAGTCAAATGTACAATATAAGCGCCACGAGAATGATGTGAATAATTATAGTTTTAAATAAGTTTAATAGCTCGATAGTCTCGTGGGAATACAGATATGACTACTGATGTGTCAAACATATTTAAAACTAATTTCCCATCATTCTTTTAGCGCTCGTATTGTACATTTACATTTTGTCTGTGACAATATTTGTTGAAATATCTGCATATTGCTGCAACAGTTTGTTACCGAACACATTATGCGGGTTGGTGAAAATGATTTTCTTGAGCGAAGCTTGGTGTGTAACCTAGCTATACTATGATTACAGAAAAGTAGGCAAGTGTTTTCCATGGTGTTCATTTTATCTCCCAAAATAAAAAAAATGTACAGGTTAAATCCTGGAGGAGATACTGGACTGCTGGTTTTTGTTGGTACTGATACTACAGTGCAAAACATTTTGAGTGCAAAAATGAAGTTTTGCTTTGCCAATGGGAAATTTGGTTCAGTCTGCACTTCTGCATGTTTAACCATTACTAAAATAGAAACATTTTGTTTTAAGGTATCCATTGTTCACCACTGAACAGATGTTGCAGGGTTTCGTGGTGATGTAGTGCATGGAAAATGCAAGGAACGATTTCAGTCTTATGTTCAACGTGCTATGACAGCTGAAGCTGCAACCACCGTGAATCCCACAGACAAGATGGTGGAAGTTTTGAATGTTGACTGCCTGAAACTATCTCCAGTTATAATTAGTGAAGTTCCTCAATTTAAGGGTGCAGAACTCATCTTTTTGGATTTGCCCAAGGTATGCAATGTTTTTACATTATTTGACAGAATTCCCAACAAATTGTATGTACTTATTTTAGGAACTTTTCAAAATAGTATTTTTAATGAGCAATTGTGTTAATGATAATAATTGTCTGTTAATGGGGACCAAATGTTTGTCTGATAATGATGTAATAAGATTGAGCTTACTGGCCTTTTTAGTGTATAAACTGATGGAGCCAAGTGAACTATTTTGGCTTGCTTGTGAATGTCTCTTTAATATTCCATAACATAAACAAATAGAGAACTATAACAAAAAATGTTAATGAAAATGGGAAATCAACTAACAGAGTTTCAAAAATATGAAGATTTCCAAAACTGACGCTTAACGATTTATCACTCCATATTATACATGTAAGCTGCCTGAAGGACAATGTTGTACTTTCAGAAACAAATTGGTCGGTTTCTCCCAGATTTTTTTATCGTTTGCAATAACAGTGTTATTATTATTTCTCTTTATTAGAATTGGACAGCTGAAAACTTAAAGCACTTTATGAGAGTTATGAAGGGAATTAACCTCCGGAACAATATTCCGGAAACACGATATGTTATTTTTCCGGTGAGCGAACGTGTGGGAAGCATGGTACATCAAATAATGACGATAGCAAATGTACTGAAGGAAATGGAGCTGCAGTATGACATTGCCTATTACCGGAATTCAGAGGCAATACCTAAAGGTACAAACCAATAATCTAACTACATAATTGAATCGATCAGGTGTATTAGTTAAAACATACCCAACACTTTCCTCCTCCTTAAATAAAATTGTCTGCTGTTAGACAGAGTAAACTAAAATGCTGGACTGTTTTAGTGAATTGAGGTCTAATTGTCAAACAATAATGCGCTCATGTGTATCAAAATTGTCGATTCAACCTAAGTGATTAATGTATATACCATCACTTGCCCGTCCTAAATTTTCACTAGAGGCACTTCACCTTCAGCAACTGACGTTATTTTTAATCGAGAAATTTCTCACTGATATATTTTGCTTTTTGTAGAGCAATGTCTTCCCAACTGTTCAACCTTTCCAGTTGTGGTTACGAAGACTACCAAAGTCATTCAAGCAGAAAATATATTTTCTGCACGAAATGAGATTGGGGTAAAGGAGAAAGACAGTGGGATTGTGTATCGAAGACAAAAGCCGGTAAAGCTCTACGAGTAACTTTTAGAAATTTTTAAGGCAGACAAGTTGCTTCATGTGATTGACGCGTGTAGTGGTGTGGGTTCTTGTGGAGTGGCGTGCCAACAAAAAGGATTGAAATGAGTTATTTTGGAAAAGTCCCCCCTAAACGTTAGACTTATTAACCAAAGGGTGAAACAATAAGAGTTGAACATTGAAGGAACGACATGATATTTATCAGTTAATTATTAGTATATTCTTGTACAGTTTAGACCTGTTTCAAACGTCACATTTTACAACATGTGCCAAACACACTAGATAATGATTGAGACATTTTAGCTGATACGTTCGATACATGCGCTGTTTGGGCGCTTTCATGATTAAGCAACTTACCCTAAGCCCTAATCTAATCCTAATAAATAATTCATATTTCAGTAGCTCCAATATCGAGCCGACGTTTGAAACAAGTCTGACCTTATTTCTTATTCTATTTACAGCTATTTCGATTAGAACTGTTGCGTCAATATAGTCTAATTAACGACCAATTAACTACTTTCACAAATCATGCTGCATTTGCAGTACCAAACCCATGCAAGCTTACTGAATATCTAACAA